CGGGGAACGGGGGGAGGGGGGGGGGCAGTTTTGGGTGAATTTTGGTCTAAATTGATAGTTTTTCGTATGGAACTGGTTCCTTGGCCTATATTTATTTTATTGTATTGCTTTTGGTTATATTTGGGATGTTTGGAGGACAATTCCAGAGGCAAGCGCGTCGTGGAGTAGGGATTTGATCGGTTTTAGGTATGTAATGATTGTAAATGTAGTCCTGAGGGTATAAAACCCCGGATTTTGCATCATTTTACTATTTCAAGGTGACGCACATGCTAGGTGACGGGCGTGTGGGCGTGCACCGTTGGGGATGTTGACATCCAATTTTGTCCCTCCTTTCCTCCAAACTATTTCCTCAAGCTTCTAATATTACCGATAATATAAAAATAGGTATTTTATTATTTTCGACACAAATTGAAATATTTGTTACTACTATAGTTAGTTTTATAATTATCATTATTGTCATTATTATTATGGTTGTTATTATTATTATTTTAATATCATTCTTATCATCTTTGCATAAAGTATATCTTTGCTCTATTTAATTAAAATTGACATTTTTTTAACGTGATGCTCTATAAATATCATAATACTTTTAAATTAATTAGTATAGCCATGCAATAGTTCATAATTATTTTACTTACTTAAAATTATAAGTTTTTTAAAGTATTTCAATAATATAACTAATAGTAGGATAATATCTTATAAATAATTTTAAAATATAGCTAGTACAGTGTATTCGGGGATGTAGAAAATTAAGAAAATGTATTGGAGGGAGGAAATATGCCATAAAATTCTACCCCGCCCAAATGAGCCCATCAAGAATAGGCCCAGTTCGGCCAAGCTTACGCCCCAGCCCAAGTAAATCCTTAAATTAAGCCCAAAATAATAGCCTAAGTCTTGACTCTTTTCTAATATCTCTCTTTGGATTCCAAACTCTCACATTTAATCATATTGAATTGTAACATCAATTCTAACACCAAGTTCACTAGGACCCGCGCTACCCCACTCTTTTGTCCTCATTTACCACAATCAAATATTTCCTTGTTCTTTCTCTATCCTCCTTTTCTATGGCAGAGATTTCCTTGTAGCCATAGGCATTTTTGGTCAAAGCAAGATGCCAAACAACTTTTGAGAAAACCTTCAAGCGTTTGCAGATTCTGCACCCTTTTTGTGCAAATAACATCTCTTTCTTTTCTCTTCCGCATTTGTGCTCGATGCCCTGCGAATCTTTAATGTCTCAGTCAAAAATCTCACCAACTCGGGTAAGAACAGAGCAAATCACGTGAATCCGTCCAAAATTCAACGTTCGGATTCAAACGGGTATGTTGACAGAAATTAAAAAATTTGAATTTCAAAATCAGGAGCATGAACCCTACTTCTTCACCTATAAATACTTGCATTTGGACTATATTGGGGCAGAGCTTTTGGAGCCGTTACACCTCTCTTAAAACCCACAAGCTTCAGCTCCCTCCTTTAACCCTTGTTTAGCCGCCATTCATACCTCTCAAAATTTCCTTTAAATCTCTCAGTCATATTGGTTTTTAACCAAACCAGAAGCATTTCTATTTATTTTCCCTGCCGATTAACGTTGGTTCAAGGTAGCGAGTCCGAGGTCGGAGTTTGATAGTGCACCTTAGATACCCGCCTCAGTTCGCTGCCCCGCAAAAGGTCCGCATCTTCTCTTTCGTTATCCTTTGGTTCTGATTAGAGCATGTTCAATACTTGATACATTTTTTCAAGACATGTTAAGTTAGGCTTTCATGTTTTAATACTATAAAGATGGGTGTTTTGCTTTTATTTCTGTTTACCTTTAGTTTGATGGAATGATCCTATGACTAAAGTTATTAGAAATAATTTTTTTTAAGAAGGTTATGTTCTGGTATATGTTACTGAAACATGTCTGCCTGATATTTGATAAAATGCTCATTAAAAATATACTCTATTTTTCTTTGTATACTTTTCTTTTAGATGTTATAACTTAAGAAAGACTTTGTCATTGGTAATTGTGATTGAGGGCCCTTTCACTTAGACATTATGCTTAGGACTCCTAACAGTTCATTTAAAGCAGATTTAGCTAAATGAACATTGCAAAGTGAAGATTTGATTTACTTCGTGTTACACCAATAAACATGTCCATAGGTGTTTAATTTAACTTACGGAGTATGGAATGAGATCTCTTCTTTGTTATGAAGTGTAAATGCTCATACATGACTGTAAGCAATCTATTTAATGAGTATGCTTTAAGAGGATAATCTTTAGATGATAAATTATTGCTTACTCCTTTAAACATTGAAAAGTTGCATTTTGTTAAAGTATGAATGTATTCGTTTTTCTTGCCCTCGAGAGTTAGAAAATTTGACTTTAGATTTTCCTTCCTCGGAGGTTTAGATGCCATACCTATAGAAGTTGATGTTTATGTTTACAATTATATACCTTGATTCAAGACTTCTTTCATACATATTTTTAGAGGCGTGGATTTAAGCAACTAAAGGTATTGATATAAGTTTGATTGCTTCTTTTACTCTTCTCTAGAAAAGCATATCTTTAGAGGTGATGTGATGAACTTGTGAATACTGATTTTAGCCCTTTGAATAAAGATGGAACTTTTACATAAGGAATCTATCTCATTAGCTGAATGACTAAAAGGGTCTTCTATCTTTTTCCTTAAATTTTCTCGCTATTGAATGAGTTTGTCTTTCATCGTAAACTAGAAATTAATTTTTTAGGAACCTAGTTGAATTTCAAAGACCATAAGAAAGAAGAATACTTACTACTCTTGTTTACTGAGTGTCTGCGTCATTATGATCCTTATTTTAGGAATAACTCGATTGCTTAGTCGAGATTATAAGTTAAATATATGCACACGTTGACTTGTAGATTTTAGTTGCCATGATATTAGAAAGTTATTTTATATGGTTAAGATCTCTATCTATGAATAATGTTCTGCTTCGATAAATGCCTTAACTTTTACTTGAGGTGCTCCTGTTAGAAAACATAGTGTAGAGATTAGTTTAAAATGCATATCATTCCTAATCCTCAATATTTTGATGCAGTACAAATATGAAGGGAATCACTAACCAAATGCTATATTGATGGCTAACCTGTTCTTGTCTATCCCTTCTGCTATAAAATTTCATGCTATCTTGAAGCATCAAAACTCGTATTTTTGTTCTTTTACATTTTTTTATCCTTGTTGTAGTGATATACAATGTCTGGAAGTAAGAATTGTGAATTGATGCATTTTTTAAATGTGGTGCATTTTAATTGCCCTTATAATGTATAATAGTATAGGGCTTATTTACTAAATCTTTAGTTTTCTCTTTCTTTACATGTACACTTTGGAGCAAATGGAGTCTTAATTCGAAACTCTTGCAATGAAGTCTCATAGTGAGGCTCGACGCTACCACCACTGCCATCTCATAGAGTCATCACATATTATCTTCCTTAGGTGTATCAGGCATCAAGAAAAACAAGCCTAATGCTTGGGGATGCCTATGGCATCCTTTTCTTTTACTATCTATTGTATCTAATATTTTATGATTGTTGATTTATTTGTTTGTTTGGTGTGCATCTCAACTGTGGATTTAATCATCTAGGTTCTTTGTTCTCTAGTACTTATATAATCTTTAGGTATTTAACATCACTAATTTAGTAACCTTTTCATCTATTTACCATTGGCAAATACATTTTCTACTAAGCTTAATACTATACCTCTAACATTTTTAAAAGAAGTCAATTTATTAAAATGCTGAAAACTTTTCGTCAAAGCCCATTTCTAATATCGTTAGGTTGGAGTTTTTTTTTTTGAATCAAGAAGTTTATTTCCAGCCAAGTATATTCTTAATGAGGATTGCTTTTCTTTAAACAATGTTTAGCGTAGGAACACATTTAACGTAGGAGCACTTTTCCCTTTAGCTTGTTCCTTTATGAATGATTTTTTTTGAGCTATTGGTTTACTAAAATCAAAACTGATTCTTAAACCCATCACCCCTTTGAAATGTTTTAATGAATATAACGTTTCTCTAAAAGTTAGTTTCCATCTTTTCAAAGTTTTAATATTTTCTTTCAAAATTAATTCGTGCCATATGGAGTTTATAAGTTGTTCTATTTTGAACAAAATTCTACGCTCAGAATGATTTTCAAATTTCGAGTCTTTTAAAATATAGAATTAGTTACTGTCTCCTTAGTATGTTGTCCCTAGTTTAATTTAGTTAATCATTCTTTCTTCAAATAATTTTTCTAAGCCACGGAGTTTTCAATTAATTAATCTAAGTTTGGCCGGTTAACTGTATTTATCGGATCATATAGGGTGCTTTAACAACCTTCCCTATATGATTAATTAGAACCCTTACCTATAATTTTTAAGGTTAAGTAGACCATAAAACATAGTTAACTTTAAGCACTATATATCTAAAATTGGTGTCCTAATTCACCGTTAAAATAATTAGGTGGCAACTCTCTTTAATTAATTAAACCTTTAGAATTACCAATATGTTATACTCTAGTTTGACCCGTGTTAAAATGGGGGTATAACAGGGATTGTGACTTGGTTCGTCCCGTAGCAACTATAAAAGTGCGAATTTGACTGAAACTATATGATACTTATGTGTTTTAGAAAGAATTTCTATAAATTGGGATGAGTGCCATATTTGGGCCTTGTGCCAGAGCTGTTTAGACCCTTAGGGGCCTTCTCTTATTATCCTCTCATTGTTTTGATTGAAAATCTATACTCACTCATGCTATTTTTACTGATTTCATAACTCAGTCTTTATTACCTCGTTTTGATGCATATAAAAATGTTATTTTGGGCTGAGCACCCTATTTTTACTGATGGCCCGAGTGGCTTGAGAGGTTTATAACTGAGTGAGGTCGAGGTCCTACTTTTTTAGGATATTATACGATCGGGCCGCGCGCCACAGCATGTTGTTACTGATTCATGATTATGTGAGGCCGAGGGCCTGATTGATTTATGCCACGAGGTGGCTTGTCATAGAGCTTGGGCTGTAGGAGCCCTTCTGGAGTATGAACACCCCCAGTGAGCGCGGGTACCCTGAGTGAGTGATATGAGATATGCCCGAGGGGCTGTATACGAGTGACTACGAGGCTTGCCTGAGGGGTCGTATATGAGTGATGTTCTGCCCGAGGGGCTGCTTATGAATGATGTTTTGCCCGAGGGACGGTTTGCAAATTTCATCATTTTACCCTCTTTTACATTGAGCCTATGTTGAAACTATTGAAAAATATCTTCAAATGATTTTCATCGAAAACTGGATTTTAAACGAGATGATTTGACTCACGTACTGATTTGAAAAAATGTTGTAACGTTCTGAGATTTCATGATGTGGACTTTATGTGTTTCTATTGCATAGTCTTTATTTACTCTTATCACATGGCGTACTCACATTACTCCCTGCACCTTGTGTGCAGATCCAAGGGTTGCTAGACGTGCTAGGGAGTGTTGATTTTCATCCATCGCGGATCTGTGGAGTTAGCAAGGTAGCTGCATGGCGATCGTAGCCCTGCTCTTCTCCCTCCTATCTTCCTTCTGATGTTATTAGTTGTTTTCCAGACTGTATTAGTCTTAGTTTTATCAGACAGTTCTTAGTAGATGCTTATGACTAGTGACACCCCGATGTCGGGCTTTTCTTTCCGCACTTTGTTATTCAGATTTATCTTATGAAGTTTTATTAATTAAATAGCTTGAATCAATCTTTAGACTAAAATATCGGGTTGTTTTGGTAAAGAGTCGGCTTGCCTAGTTCCACGATAGGTGCCATCACGACATGGTAGATTATGGTCGTGACAAGTTGGTATCACAGCCTAGGCTACATAGGTCTCACAGGTCATGAGCAGGTTTAGTAGAGTCTTGCGGATCGGTACGGAGACATCTGTACTTATCTTCGAGAGGGTGCAGAACCTTTAGGAAAATTTCATATTCTTGAATTCTTATCGTGTGAATCTGTTGATTCTGGTAACTAAACTTCTGCTACTCTATTCTCTCACAGATGGTGAGGACACGTGCTACCGGTCAGGACGGACGGCCACCAGTACCACCAGTTGGGGCTGCGAGAGGCCGAGGTCGCGGTCGAGGGCGTAGTAGGGGCAGGGGTGTAGCCGCACAACAGCTAGGGCAGCACCTGCAGATCCACCAGCCGCCCCAATACATGATCAGGTCCCAGTTGTGGACGCTCCAGCAGGACCAACTCAGGCACCGGTTGTGCCTATTGTTATCCCAGGTCTTCAGGAGACCTTAGCTAAGATCTTGACCGTGTGCATTAGTCTTGCTTAGGCGGTTGCTGTTTCTACTACAGCAGCTACTTCCCAGCCGGGGGAGGCACTCAGACTCCTACCGCCCGTGCACCCGAGCACGTTGTGCAGGGACTGCAGATACTGGAGGCACCACCAGCCTAGTCGGTTGCACCTGCTCAGGATTAGATGGTACCAGTCATGCCTGATGACGAGCAGGGTAGGTTGGAGAGGTTTGGTAGACTTCAGCCTCCGACTTTTAGTGGTACAGAGGGCGAGGATGCCCAGGGTTTTTCTTGGACAAGTGTTAGAGGATTCTACGTATAACGGGTATTCTGGAGACTAGTAGGGTCTCCTTCACTACTTTTCAGTTCTCTGGAGCTGCCTTTACTTGGTAGGAGTCTTATGAGAGGCGTAGGCCTGTTGGTGCAGCACCCCTTACCTGGCAGCAGTTCTCCGTTCTCTTTCTGGAGAAGTATGTGCCGCAGTCTCGCATAAAGGAGTTGCGCAGGCAGTTCGAGCAGTTGTATCAGGATGCTATGACTATGATGCAGTATGAGATGAGGTTCTCAAAGTTAGCCCGTCATGCTATCTAGTTGGTTCCCACGGACATGGAGAGGATCAGAAGGTTCGTAGATGGCCTCTCATATAAGTTACGAATTTTTATGACTAGAGAGAGGGTATTTGTTGCTTCTTTTGAGGAGGTTGTTGACATTGCTCGGGATATAAAGTCGATTCTCCGTTAGGAGCGATTGAGAGGGAAGCCAAGAGGCCTCGTGGATCCGGTAGTTATGGGGGTTCTCCTCATGGGGGTCAGTTTCAGCATGGCAGAGGTCGTCCATTCAGACATGCTCAGACAGCTCGCCTAGTTCACCGTGGGGCAACATTGAGGCATGGTCCTCACAGTTCTCATCAAGGCCATTCATCACTTAGTGCCCTCCTGGCCCAGAGTTCGTCCCGCTTAGTGCCCTCCCGGCCCAGAGTTCGTCCCGTGCTCCATCAGTTTAGGGCTCATCCATGACAGGTTCTTCTACTAGTCATCCTGGTGCTAGGGGTTCCCTTTAGTCCCCGTCAACGGCACCAGGAGGTTGCTATGAGTGTGGAGAGTTGGGTCATATGTGGAGGCAGTGTCCTCGTCGTCATAGGGGTCCGCCTCAGCAGAGGAGTCAGCCATCGACTTCAGCACCGGTTACTACACCATCCGCCCAGTCAGCTAGGGATGGAGGACAGTCAGCTAGGGGTTGTTGATACCCAATTTTTCCCTATGTATTTTATATACTCAAAATGTTCTCAAAATAGTATGTACATGCATATATAAGCATGCCCAAGAGTTTTGGTATCTTTCCCTTATTTTAAAGGTTTTTAAAATCAATTTGTTGTCTATTTTAATAGACAACAAATTTGTTGTCTATTTTAAAATTAATTTGTTGTCTATTTCCCTTCACCCAGGCCTTCACTGATTCGAAGATTCTGGCCTTGCTCCGGTGGCTCTTGGTCTTTTGAGCCTATTTATGACATTATTCGACTTAGATCGGGTATTTTTGAAGCCTTTCTCATCTCTAGGGTTCATCTGGAACCCTAAATATCGAGGTTCTCTCCGATTATTTTAGATCTGTTACATGTTTGCACTGTTGCTTAAGTTTCTTAAACCTTTTTTTTTTATTTTCTTTCAAAAAGCACTTCTTTTCGATTAGGGTTTCTGGAAAGTCCTTAAAATGTTTCTGACTCTTCTTCTTCTCTTTTCTTGGTGTGAATCGATCCCTGCTATGTTCTTACTGGCTCTTTTCTAACTCACATGCCTTTCGTGTGTTCTTATATTTGCCTTCTTATGAAATTTATTTTATTATGCTCCGTTCTATCTCATACTGGTTTTTCACCATGCTCTCTCATGTCTATCTTATGTGTTCCTCTACTGTATTTTCCTACTGAGTTTTGATCCTTTGTTTGCCTTTACCGGACTTCGCCTGAATTCTTTCTAGATGTGTTTCATCGACTGTTTCTTTAAGTTTACACTACCTGAACTCATTTAATTTTCAAGCTTTCTTGAAACTTGTTTCCTGTACTGGTTCCTATGTTCTACTTGCTATTGTGCTTGTATGCTTCTCATGAGATTCTGAAAAGGTCTCTGAGCTCACCTCGATAGTTTGCCTCTTCATCTCTGTATCAAATTCGAGTTTAAAAACCCTAGGATTTGGAGGTTTTCTTTGGCTGAATTTGGTTTTACGTTTGGGCAAGGGTTCTACTTTGAAACCTTGAACTCTCAGACTCACTTCGAGTTTATGAATTGAATTCGAACCTTTTCTGCATTTGTGATTTTGAAACCCTCTTGCTTGACATGCCTATGTGTTTTATACGAGAGCTTCTCTTTCAAAGGTCTTGCCAACTGTTAATTGATTCTGAATTCCTTTAA